CAAGACTTTGTTTCATTACCAGAAGCGTAATTATCCAAGACTGACAATTGCTGCTTTGGCTGCATTCCCTGTCTGCTGGAGAGGTAACTCTCTTGTAAGGATATATGGTGAAACAGGTGCAAAAGAGGACATGAAAATTCTATGTGGATACATCACTAGAGAAGTTAGATGGCATGATTCACATTCGTTTCCTGGAGGTGTTTAAAAACTTTCTGAAAATATTATGATAAAGCAGACAGAACTGTTCTTTAGCTAAACAAGTGACTGGTCCAGAAAAGTCTGGGATTTGTAGCACGCAAAGTGTGAAATGAAGGATTGCACCACCTTAGCCAAGTTAAATGCAGTCTTTTGCTGAGTCTTTGAGGCTGATCTTGAAGGACAGGATGGAAAAGTCATTAAAAACAAAAGCAATGAAAGAAAAGAAGAGAAGAGAAGAGAAGAGAAGAGAAGAGAAGAGAAGAGAAGAGAAGAGAAGAGAAGAGAAGACCCAGAACAAATAACTGCAAGTATCTGCTGCATGACCCTAGACCCTGGGTAATATTACCTACTGGCCCAGACGCTGAGGGTCATGTTCAGACCACAGAAAATGCAATTTTAAAATATAAAGATAAAATGAGCTTAATGGAGGTAGACTCTCATAAAACAACTAAACAGAGAGAGAAGCAAACAGTGTTGGATGTGACAAGGTTTAAAAAATATAAAGATTACTGTTTTCCTAGTTTGCTACTAGGAAACAATGGCATGAAACCCCCAAGTCCAGAAATCATACATATTTCTGAATTTTACATCATCAGTGAATTATCTTAAACCCACACTTGCCCTTAATGTTGCTGCTGTCCTCACCAGTCATACCCACCCTGGATACTTTGTCTTACTGTATTAAATCACACAAATATTGGTTTTGCTTTTCATAGAATCATTTAGGTTTGAAAAGACCTTTAAGATCATTGAGTCTAACCCTTATCAATATTTGCTATTCAGTTTTTTCACAGAGAAGCAAAATGATCACCATCATGCAACAATCCAAGGTAGCAATGGGAGGAGAAGTCCTGTGGATCGGGTTTAACCAAGCTACGAGTGGCAGAATGGAAGAACTGGATCACACCTTGACTCATGCTCATGCTTTATTAAATCACAGTATAACTAAACCATAGCCAGAGTTTAAACTTTGGAGAAGGACACACACCAGTGTAGTCTTCTAGCACATTTTAGAAAGCTGTTGAGTATTTCCCATCTTCATTTTAAAAACAACTGCACACAGACCCGTTAAATATGACTGCAATACAACCAATAATCTGACTGATGACAAAGGTCAGAAGCATTGGAGAAAATAAGGTTTTTTTCAACTTATTATAGTTAAGAAGTATACAGATAACTTTCAGGAGAAAAGGGTACTTCCCCCATTATCTTCTGAATTAATCTGAATCTCAACAAGTATCCCTTGTTATGCATTTCTTTTAAATTACATTAATGTGTAACTCAGGAAGAAAAGTGAATTGTTTGCAGCAGCAAGATAGCAGCCGTCCTTGCTTGCTACCCAAAAGAGTTAATTTTACAGCAAGCTGTAGCTACTCTGCTCTTACTGTATTTTATGCGGGTTTGAGAATGTTTCAGGGGATTTACTGTTTTAGTACCTGTTTGTCCCTTTTTAACAAGTGTAAGATTATGGGTTTTAAACAGAGATAATAATTCAGGAAAGCTATGAGTTCTTTTATGAGGACTTTAATCAGGAGCATGGCATTTCTTTTCAAACAAGAGCAGCTTCCTAATTTCCTTTGCCTGGAGGGAACTGACTTGCCCGATTTAGCTTGATTTGTTACTGGTTTTTGACTAACACCCTAATCCTCCTAACCAATTTTCACGCAGTTCCACAGTCTGTTATTGATAGAAGTTTCAAAATCATGAAAATTATATACTTTCTAGGCAGGTGGAAAGAAAAGGAAGGCTTTAAAGATATGTTTACTGTGCCATCAAACAGAGAAATGCGTCACTATATGTGAATAATATTAATCTCAGACCTATGTTAGGTACTGGCTATACCTTAGAAATAATAGCATGGACTTTATCCTAGGTCTGCTGCTCAGGATCTGAAGCGAGTTTATACAGGTCTCCCTGACACACATTTCCATGGTTTTACTATGATTGGTATCTGAACTAGTAAGATTAAAAGTTATTCAGGAAAGTCTCTGCAGGCTGCAGTACCTACGGTTGAAGCTCAGTCATGTTCTTTATAGCTGCAAGCTACAATCTTTCTACATAAAGCAGCAACTGGAATTTACAGAAATGACTGAGATTACACTCCACATTACACTAAAATACACACCAAAATAAAAAATTAAATACATAGTGAAACTGCAATTAAATAAATATTGGAATGGAAACTGATCAGTAAGACATCAAAACTGTTCTCTTAGCTCTCTCTCAAAAGAAAATTGAAGGACAGGTGACTATTTGAAAAAACTCCTCTCCAAATCCCCCTTCTCCGGTCCATCTCCAAGCATCATCTCAGTCTGAAAACCTAGGAAAAAGTTGTGGGCACTAGCCAGCCAGCTGATCAAAAGTAATAGCCATGAATGACTTTCAAGCACCTGTCTGTGCCTCAGACTATGGCATAAATCTTCTAGGGCTTCTGTAACCAGCTGCAGGATTGACTTTGACTTGGGACCTATGAAATAAAGGTGGTTTTTGAGGCAAATGCTCTTTACACATCAAACTTTCGTTCTTTTCCTTTATTTTAAACTAATCAGTCACAGTGACATTTCTGATACCCAAATCATGCTCTTTTTCTGCAGCTACACCCCCTTGGTTTCACTGTCATATAGCTGTTCTTTGTTCATGTCTCCCATTCCTGCAGCGCACTGCTGCACTGTCTTTTTGGACTGATGGCCTGCTTTCCTCTGCTATCCCTCCCATCACCTTGAAGTATCTCTTTTTTGAAATAAAATGGAGATGTAATATTCATAGATTATATTCTATATGTAAAGGTTCCGTACCAGGACTGTAGCCAGGTAGGTAATAAATAAAGCAACTAGGGACCAGGACACCTGCAAAAAAAACCCTGAAAAATACTTATTTACTCATCTAAGCAAAAAAAGCAAATAATGAAATATTTGGTTCTCAAAATTCATTTTCAGTAAAAACAAATTAAATTGGGGTGGATTTTGAACAACATTGCCACTGCCCCTAGCCTCTGAATTTTGATCAAAAGATGAAAAACTGTAAATAAAAATAAGCATTAACCCCAGGTTCTTATGCAAACATTACCTAATTTTCCAAAATAAGCTCTCCAGAGTTGCAGCAACATTTCTGTGAGTTTTCTGGTGGCTTTGGGGGGGCTTGAAAAGCCATTAGAAACTGTATTAGTTCTAGCATCACCTTCCTCTTTTCAGTCTGTTCCTCCTTTATTTTTTATTCTTTTTAATAGAACCTTCTGGTTTTTACTGTGACAGTGAATTCATAACAATGTTTTCAAAATGAATATTTCACTAAGTAGTGAGAGGAGCTGGTTAGTCAAAGTAGGAACCTCTCCATTCTTCTATTTATATCTCCTAAAGTCAGGAGCCTACATTGCTGACTGTAAGCCACTCTTTTGCCTCTGATATTTCCTAGCTATATCTACAGCCATATTAAAAACATCTGCTGGACCAGGCAGATTTATCCACAGTTCAGCTAAAGCTCTTAATCAGATTCAATTTCCTTTTGTCCTGGTCCCTCTAATTCTCTCCTTATTGTCTGCCTATATCTTAACTTGAAAGTTCGACAATTTGTCTTCTCTGCCAAACCTGGAAATAGCACCTCATTCTGAGATTCAAAACCCTTAGATCAATTTCTGCAACCAATATAAAAGCTGTCTGCACCTTCAAAGTTCTCAGGTCTATAGAAACTTTCTGTGTCTATTCTATATGTAGCTTCCCTCAACATCAGATGGCAGACTGTTTTCTGTCCTCCTTCCTTATTTTATGCCAGTCACTATACAATAATGTCCCAGTCTTCTTGCATCTAATGACTGTCGTTTGAATCTTTCACTTCAAATGATTTTTTCTACCTGACCTTCCAAATCCATCCTAAAAGTCCATTTCTTCTACCGCTCTTTGAATTCCACAGTCACAAATGCAAGCTGACCATGTCCAATTTTATTATTTTTTGTTTCAAACTTTCTCACTCTATTCACCTCGTCTACAGGTATCATCACCTAACTTTACTTCCTCAGAACAATTAGTTTTAGTTAAGTATCTTTTGCTAGTGTCACAGTGGAAGATATGGTCTATATTTAGTAATGATACCAAACTCTGTTTGCAGAAAATGAAAGCTTAACTCTAGGCAAGGGAAACAGATATAATTCTGTAGTAAAGCAAAAAAAGTGTGATTACTGAGTTCTCTCAGTTTAATTGGAAGTCTTGTGACATTTGACATTCTTTCTCAAAATTTTAGCTCTCAAAAGTAGTTGGTTATGTAAGACCCCCCTTTTATTTTGATTTTGTTTCAGATGGACTTTGACAAGGAACTGAGACAAATCTTGTTTAGACACTGTATGACTCCCACAGCTCAAAGCCAACAATAACTAACCTTTATGTACATTAAAAATAGCTTGGAAATATGACCAGAGTGAAGTTGAAAGGCTTAGTGAATAAAAAAGCAGATTTAAAAAAAAAAAAAGTCAGATTTATTTAAAAGTATTTTTAGCTATGCTGATAATTTTGGTTGTGTGACTCATACCTTGGGAAACCTTTGAGATGGTAATAGTCAAAGACAGGTATCTTCTGATTCAAGAAATCAGACACAACAAATCTATTCACTGAAAACCCCAAACTGAGTGTACACACATCCGCAGTCTTCAACAGTAGAATGATATAAACTATAGATCCTGCAAAAAAGGGAGGCAGGCCCCAGCCCTGGCCCTCCAGCCCTTCTACTTGTTCCCAGGCTCCCCCGATGCTCCACAGCAGCTGCCATTTATCAGTGGCCCCGCTCACAGGCAGAGCGGCCCCACCGGCACTCACCACCGGCCGGTGTACGTCCCAGAATGCTCGCTCCTGGCTGTCAAGAATCTTCCTCTCTATCTTGTCTCTCTTCTTGTCGACTCTGTCAATGTTATAGGACGTTTAAAAGAAACGGTCTTAATGACAGTAATTTTATACATAAGAAGTGTCCCATCACTTTGCCCTCCCTCTCTCCCTTCAAAGAGCATTGAAAACCAAAACTCGCCTTCGAAGGAACTTACTTTGCTTGTGCTTCAGCTTGCATAAAAATAAACTCCCATTTCCGAGCAAATGCTCGCTGTAGCCTGGCCAAACTCTCCTGAAAATACATCACAATTTTAGTGGGTTAGGTTGTAAGTTATTTACTATTTAATAGCTTTTAGCTTATATTTCCCTCCTCCCCTGGCCCCCCCAGGTGCAATACAAGTCATGATAACTGTGCCAGTGTAAATATACCTTACTTATCTGATATAAAGTCTTTGCTTGACACCAAAGAAGATGGAATACTAGATCTACCTACTTTTGAGTCATTCAAAAACTATTTTAGTTTTGAAACTCTGATGACACGGGTGCATGCAACCTTCAGCAGAACACGGGATTTCTGAAGCATTTTCATATAGTAGGTGCTGGCTGACTAATTTTGTAATAATACAAAGAAGCATTCTTGTTTTGAAAGTACCAACCCTGAAAGATAACAGCCATACTTTCCATACTGGATGATCCACATGACAATTCCCACCAGTCATCTATACAAATTGTTTGCATTGAACAATGTTGGCTGCCTATCAGTTTATTTGAAATACAACAATAAGAAACTATCAATATTTTGGTAGTATAGGAATCTTCCAAGACCTCCACAGCTATCCTCATTTTAAAAAAATGCAGACTATAGATCTTCACTACTGTACAGGAAATGTATATATCCTACAGCCTACTAATAATAACAGGAAGAAGATTTACAAAATCTTAGCAGAATCCTTTCCTTCACTGATGCTGGAACAGCTTCACTGTCTGTAACAGAGCTTTTCCAATCTCTCCCTCGCCAGCTTAAATGGCAGCAGTATGCAGTCTTAACATGAAGAAGCCTGAGATTCTTATCTTCCTCCAAAAAGACCCCAGTTACCTTCATGCACTGCTTTTACTGACACTAAGTGAAAAATTGTCTGTAAACTTCCTAACAAAAAGCGTTGCTTTAACTGTATTTCTATGCATTGCAAATGCACCTCTGTGATATACTTATTGAAAATAAAGACTGCAGAGATTGAAGAGGAGACTTTCTAGAGATCTTGTCAATACCAGTAAAGGCTCTTGTGGATTGTATACTGGAGGTGAATTTTCTAAGGCATGTAAGTATAAAATTATGCATACCCCACAGTGCAGTACACTGAAAAGCAAGCTTGTGCCAGAAGAAGCAATAAAGTGTGTCAGCATGGTGCTGCGGCTGGAGTATTTGGCATGTTGAGAGGCCTGGCTGACTATCCTGCTATCATGTCACAGTAGCACAGCTGGACAGCTTTCAGCGCAGAGCCGGGGCTGTTCATGAATTTTATGTTGACATTTTCATGAAAAATTCAGGAGCTTTTGGGGGGATAGGGATGGAATTCAAGACATCTCTCTCCTTAGCGAGTGCCATCCTCATCAGCTAATCAAACTCCCTCTTTTCCCGGCTCTTCCTGGCCCCAATTATCTTGCCTTGCTTGGGGCACAGCACAACTTTCAGGGAGTGCGAAGTGCCTCTAGTCTGACCCTCTTTGCCTCTCATCTAACTCATGGGATAAGGGCTCAAGCACTAGCATCGCTTTAAAGAACGAGATTTATATTTCTACAGCTACCAACTGCTTTTGAAAATGCTGCCAGAGATCCTTCATTCAAACCTTACATGGTGTAGAGTACAATTGCTTTCAAACACTCGTGGTGTATCTGGGATTTGTGACCAGTTATTTCTGATCCTGGCATGATGATCAGAGTGGAGTAAGATTACAGGTGGGCCAAAATCTCAATTTTTGCCCAGCTAGCCTTCACTACAGTCTCTCAAACAGCCTGTATGACTACTGAGTGCTGCCAGTCCCACATGCTGGCAAAAGTGGATAACTAATAAATTTTCACAAATAATGCCTATAGTTCTCATGCTTAACATTAGTTTGCATGCTCGTTAGGCCCAGCAGAGATATTTACTTTTCCCCAGGTACTTACAGCTTCATAGTCTGCTAGCTCTAGCCTTGCTTTGTTTTGCATTGTCCGCTTGCAGAGGTAAACGGCTGGAACAATAAAATAACACAAATTGCTACTATCTCACAAACACAGCAGACCAGAAATCTTAATCTCTATTTTACTGCTAGCTTTTTTTTGTTTTGATTTCACCCTCTATGCTAAAAAGCTTTAAATACAGGATCAATGCTACCAGTATTGTAACTAAAATGGTGGGTCAGATACAGAGATTCATTAAATAATTATAAAATCCACTTTATGCAACAGACATCATATACAAAATGCATGAGATACTCAGGGTGAGGTTGTTCAATGGCCAGGGAACTAGCACATTAAAGAAAAAATGGCAAAAACATCTTTTAAACTGTGTGTTTAACTCATACTGCATAAGAATTTTATTAGGAACTGCTACTGTATTAGTCAAATAAGTTTGTAAGAACATGTATACAAGGTTTTATTTATTTTGACTTTATATTTAGAAATCACAAAATTTCAACCTAAGAAGATTTTAGCTAAAACTTAATTCTAGATAAAATTCAAGTCTCATACAGATTAGTCTGCTATAACCAATATTCAAAACAGAAAATAGGAGACCAAAAAATGAAAAAAGTGTATTATGTGTTAGATATAATGAGAAAAATAAATTCTTTCATTTATTTTCTGGATCCAAAATCCTTCAGCAGAGCTATTCTGTCTCCACCTCATTCAGACAGAGCAGAATCCTAGCTAATAAAATGGAATACTGACAGCTAAATACTGAAAGGATGCAGGGATGAAAATGAAACTTAAGACTACATAAACAGCAGAGTGGTTTACATCATGTTGCTTGATCCTGAATTCTTTGTGCACTCCATTACCCCTGAACGAAGTACATTTCCAATAGACTTCATGTAGCAACAAATACTTCACATCAACTCTGAATATTGTACAGCTTCCCCCACCAGTAAGATGATGAGTGCAGCACAATTCCTTATTGTGCAATATTTACCCACTTTCAGAGCACCTTCTCATGTGTGAGATGGAGGAATCTTTTGATCAGTGCAGGTAAGAAAACCTTAACTTATCTGTGGTCTCTATGATCAGCAAAAAGAGCCCATATTTACTGGTTGTGGTTAGGAATGTTCTTGCTTCCTGACTGCCAGCTTGTCCACTACAAGTAAAGAGGAACAACTTCACATAGGAGCCTAACTCTTGCAATCACTAGGAAGAAGGAAGTGCTCATCTTACATATAGCTTTGATTTTTAAGATAGTCAAACTGATTATATTTTACAATTCCATGAAAACATTTATTTCTGACAAGTCACATACAAATGCATGCAAACCCATTCCAGTGGATGCTATTTCAGTGGAACTAATGACAAGCACTTCTAATAACTCCAGCTGCAGTTACAGGTGTTACTTGATGTAAAATGAAGTTAGATTTTAATGCAGTTTTTGTCTTTTTTCCCCCCTTCATTTTGTGTGTGTTATCTGGTCTATATTCTTTCATACTTTTTCACTTTCCACTCCTATAAGAAGCCATGGTCTCTTTCTCTACTCCCTGCACTCCCATATCCCCTGTGGTTCCAAAGCAATTTCTGCATCTACAGCATCTACAAATACAGACACAAATCCACGTCACACACCAAGTATAGCAGATGAACAGTTTCTATAGCCTCAGTTTCCATGCATTTTAATATTAGTATACACTTACACTAATGCATTGGCATGCATGCTGAAATGTCACAAAAAGAAGAGGGGATGAATTCTGGACCCTTTGTACCTAGGTTGCATCCACAATCAGTACAGTGGTAAGGGAATACTGAGGAGAGAGACAGTCTTTGTCATTTAGCTCCATTTACAAGGAAGTATTTTCCTCTCTTTTCCTTCAAAATCAGTTATTTCATTGAACATGAAAAAAAAAATCGTAAACCCCTTGAAAATATTAGCAATAAAATGCATATTTAATAGAAATGTGTAGACAGTTCTGAGAATTCCAGGGGTCAAATTTTCTCTGGTCCAACCAATCTAACACCATCTGAACAGAAACAAAACAAACTCTGTTCTCTGTACTTGATTAAACCCCTGCAAACCACATTCTCATGGTCCCTGTATAGGCACCTTTAGTTAGCTTAGCACTTCCTTGAGTCCCATTTTGGGTGTATTTTAGGATTAGCATCTCCTGCTACCTTCAACAAAAATTGTTGTTGCAGAGGTGGCTGGCTGTCCATCTTTCTGTCAGGATAGGTTTTAACAAAGAAGCATCTTCCAATCACAGAGTTCTCAGCACTGGCAAAACATCCACCAGGTCACCAGGAGCAGGAGAAAGAAATTAGCTTGCTACACTATTAATCTAATACTGTGTCTAAGAAAACTCTGCCTTCACTGTGTGACTGTACTGCAGGATTTTCCCTGCAGGCTTTGTTTAATGACCCGTTTTGCTCCAACTCCATAGCAAATAGTCCATATAAGAACATTTGTTTTTCATTATAAGCATATCTTAGCCAAGACTCAAGAAATCATGTTCATCCCTTAGACCTTTTTTCTCTGGAATATACAGATCCCCTCCCCTTCAGGAGCCTAAAGGTTATAAAACCTGGGGCTTAGATACTTTATGTCAGAAATGTTTCTATGTGCCAGTATGGATAAAGCAGAATATGCCCAAGAAAGGTTTAGTTATTTGGGAAATATAACATATCCACTAGTGTAGAAGAAAATAGTCCTAAAGAACATTCCTACTCTTTGACTCAATTTGCCATTGCTACGTGCTAACAATTACATCCAACAATATCATCAATAACAATTATATCCCAACAATAGATGTGCATGTTTGAGGATCTATTTAAGAGCTACTTGTAGTCACACAAGAAGCTGGCAGCAGCTCAGGAATTTGAGTTCATCAGTTCACATTCTTGGTATCATATTCTTTGGCTTGCCCATAACAAAATTCGCTAGCATGTTAGAAAGCAAGAAGAATGTGAAAATCGCTCTCATTTTCAGCCAGAACATTTGAAGACACAGAGAAATGAGGTTTTGTTCTTTTGACTTTTAGAGCAATGAGATCTGAAATAGCAGATACTCCCATCTTTCTGAGGTGCCACTCCTTTTCTGCACCAAAACATGTGTGAAATAACTGCATGTGTCCAGTAGCCTGACCCTGAGCATCTGGGGAGGATGTCAGTCAGGTTCCCTCCCAAAGCAGAGTCATGAGCCCTCAGCATTTCAGAGCATGACAGTGTCTGCTTTTCTAATCCCATGGTTTCTATGAGCTGTCAGTGTTTTTACACTGCTTCATACAGCTTCATACAGAAGTAGGATCTGCAGTAAGGGTCTCCAACTAAAAGCTCCTCTGTTTCCCTCTCTATTTATCTACACCCCAAAGGCCCTGGTCCGGGCTCTCAGTACATGAAGGAGATGTAATTGCCCTGAGCAGCCCATCCAGGGTCTCCACTGAGGCCTCCTGTGCCCAGGACCTGTGCTTAAGCCCAGCTCCTTCCCCTGGCCCTGGCTTGAACTACATTGTAGATACGCATCTAACCAGCCCTGTAACTCACCAATGCTGCCCTGGCTTGACCTTGGACCTTCCTGGTTACTTGAGACTTTGCTGGTGAGGCCATTGCTCCTGCCTCCACTGTTGCCACCCTCAGTTCTTGCTTACCTTCCCTTGCAGAGCTGCCCTCTCTTGCCGCTCCCTGACAAGGGTGCTGAAAAACGCTTAACATACAGATGAATGATAGGCAAGGTACAGGGTCTGATTAATAACCTCAATTTGCTAAATATGGACTGCCACATACACTCTTATTTTTAGAGCCAGTGTATTCTGATGGATTTTGCAATCAACATAATTGCCTCCACTAAAGTGAATTATATATTAGATGTTATAGCTTGAGCTTTTGAAGTGACTGATTATCATGAGAAAACAGATTTGCCAATAATTTTAAAGGCAATATTAATACACAACATTTCATAATGAAAGATGGTCAGTGATACATATAAATGGACATTTGAACTGCAAACCAGTATGAAAACACACTTTGGTAGCTGTGCAGTAAATATGGACCACTCGCTCTTGAAAATTCTGTTCAGGCATTCACAAAATGTGGGCAATGTGAGAGTTTAAAGTGAGATTGCAAAGTGTTCTAGTAAGAGTTGCATGAAGAGGGTGTCTGGGTTTTCCCTCTTGCAATTTTTTAAGCTGTTACACCCAAAATAACCCGTTTTCATGGTTAGCTACCTTTGTTTCCTATTCTTGACTGTTCACTTGTACTTGAAAGCTCCTAAGAAACCTCTGTAGATTTTTTTCTTTAAATAAGATCATGGTGATAATGACAGGTTTCATTCTAGAAACTGGACTAAGTACACATTATGTTACACACGCTTACTGAAAAAAAACCCAGAGCTTTCACCAAAAAGTTAAATGGGGAATTTAAGCTTGTTGCTAAATGGGCTAAATCTTCCCTATCACCACAGCAGAGAAAAAGCCTCAGCTAAATTCAACAGAAGTACAACTGGGCCTCTGAAGACCACGAGTAATGCCACCTACACATCCACCACCATGTACACAAACTTAAAGTCCTTATACAATTGTCCCAGTGCCAGTGGCTACAGCTTGATTCAGCCCCAGATGGTGGGCATAGCTTTCAGTGAACACTCATTATCTCCACCGAGGCCAGATTAAATTTATACTCTCTGCGAGTCAAAACTCCGGTTTCGGAGTCCGTGTGCACATGCTTAGTCAGTGTTTAAAGAGCAAAGAAAATAGAAAGCACTGCAAGGTCTAAGGGTTTCCAAGTGCCCTGTGGGCAGACAGAAGTCCTCCCTGCATATGCGAGTGCCTGCATCAGATGGAGAATTACAGGACAATCAGCACAGAACATAACTGCAGGATGGAGAAAATTAAATCAACTATCTTATTTGAACATCAGGATTTCTAGGGCTATTTGTATCATCTTTAGGTCACCTCTGCTTTTATTCAATTAAAAAAAAGTAATTTTTGCTCTTTGCAACTTCTATTGAGTTTCCCTTAGTCTTGGAAAAAAGGTGACAACATTTAGGTGGACAAAGGGGTCA